CAGAGGTCAAGAGCACAGGCTCTGAGTCTAGCATATTCACACCCAAATTCCAGCTTCACCTCTTGCCACTTTGAGTCTTGATTTCTCCACCAGTGAATGGGGCTAATTATGGAACCTACATCGTAGGGCCGCTGGGGGTGGGTGGGGTCTCTAGATGAAATCATCTGCATGTGAGGAAGTGACCAGCACAAAATAAGTACTCAGTAAACATAGTTATTATTGTGACACGAGTTTTGTATGAGTGTGTGGGGGTAGGGAGGGATTTGTCTTGAAATTCTTTCCTTAGGCATCATCTTGCCCTGCCTTAATCCAAGGCAGCCTGAGCCCCGCACCAGGCCGGACACAGGTCATGCTCGGGCAAGGGCTTCCCATATATCTCAGAAGCTTGAGAACAATGACCTCAATTGCCCACTTACATTCTATCATTCCACCAACAGGTAGCGAGTTCCTACTTTCCACCAGGCCCTAGGTAAGGGCTAGGGAGCCAGGATAAGTTGACCCTGTCCTGCCTTTGTAGACTATCCACCTGGTTATGGGACTTCTCTGACACACAGTTGATGACAAGTCTTGTGGGAGAGGAGCAGAAGGGCTACCTTGAGGAAGATGCATTCCCACTCCAGCAGAGACAGCGAATGCTCACTCATATCAGAGGCTCCTTGTCTTCCCCGGTGTGTGGCTGGACTACATTTCCCAGGCTCCCCCGCAGTTCAGTGTGGCACATGACCCAGCTGTGGTGATTGGATGTGGGCTGCAGTGATGGGTCCCACTTTGGAGCCCCCCAAACACTCCTTCATACTCTCTTCACCCTATGAATGGCTAGAATAGAGATGACCCCCAGGGCCACCTTGAGACCCACATATTGAAGATTCAGCCTAGGTCCCAGAAAGACCAGGTAGAATCGACACCCACTCAGAACAGTTACAGAAGTGAGAACTCTTTTTCTAGCATATTTGCTGGGTATTTGTAACATTCTATGTGTAACAGTAGCTAGGGTTATCCTAACTGATAACTTGCCCTGAAAGACTATTTTATTATGTAACTTTTCCCCTTCACGACTAACAGTTACCTTTGGCTCTAAAGTACTAAGTTACCAATGCTATTGTCCCAGTTTAATTCTTTGTGTAACTGGAGATGATACTCCTGACCGGTGTTATTTCCAATTGAGGTATTCTTATTAATTCATTCTCTGTTTTCATGCATTTGTTGTTGTCATTGTTGGCTGGAACTAGATCTTGAGCTAGATTTTTCTCTCTCCACCCCTCTTCCAAGTCTGTAGACATTGGCCCACCCTGGATTAATGTGGAGAAGTTCAAGACCCGTCTGTATCACCCAGGGTCCTGGCAGGAACCAGGCACTCAGACTGAATAATTGAGGGGAGTTTAATAAAGGAATTATATTCATTCAGTTATAAGATGAATAAGGTCTGAGGATCTAATGTATAACAGGGTGGTTATGGTTGATAACACTATTGCATAACTGAGATGTTGAAATGTGCTGACGGTAGAACAAAAATGTCCTCACCAAAAAAAAAAAAAAAAAAGGAGGTGAACTATGTGATGAGTGTGTTAATTAACTTGATGGGGGGAAATCATTTCACATGTATATGTCCATCAAATCATCACATTGTACACTTTCAGTATCTTACAATTTTATTTGTCAATCATACCTCAATAAAGCTGACCAAAAAAATAAATGATTTACGAAGCTGTGGGTCGGTGAAGCCTTCAGTGCCCAGCCCACACGCCCCCAGCATCACCTCTGCGTGGTGCTTTCCTGCTAATACCGGAGTCAGGCTCCTGCTCTCTCTCTGCTGTAGGGGAGCAAGTTTAGCCAGGGTGTTGAGCCAGCCCAGAGTGCCGGGAAGTTGATGTCCTGGAAGCAGCCCTCCAACAAAGTCAAAGGGCAGTTGGTAGATAAACCTCCCAGCTTCTTCACTCCTCAGCTGGGTTAACTCGAACGATATTCTACACTGTCTCACAGAGTTCCCCTGAAGGACTGAGCTCTAGATAGCCTGCTGGCATTGGCTCACTTCCTGTCTTACTCAGCACTGCCCTTCCAGTGTTTCCTGGGATTTCTTCCCAAATGAACTCCTTGTACTCGAATCTTTGCCTCAGGCTCTACTTCTGGGGGAACCCTAACCCAGAGCAGAGTTTATGGAGAGCAATAAGGGGTGGTACAGTAGCCTGAGGCTAGTAACAAAAGGAATCCCTGCTTTCGAAGATGGTCAGGAGGGACTGGTATGATATGGACAGGACCACCCGGCAGGAGCTGGGGCCTTGGTGGAGAGACACAGCTGACCCGGTGGCTGACTGTACAAGGGGGAAAAGAGAGAGGAGTAAACATCCTGACTTCTCCCTCCTCCCACTTTCTGATCTCCTGCTGGTGCCTCCTATTGGCCAAACCCAACCAGAAGCCAGAGGGCAAGAGAGCCTGCTGGTGTTTCCATAGTGGTCAGGTTGCCTGGCACACATCAGCGTGGAGAAGGGTAGGGGGTGCATTTGGAGGGGCAAACAGAAGATACGCAGCACACAGCCTGATTGTTTCTCTTTGTCTTTGAGTTGCTTGGTAGGCAGAATTTTGATAGTCCAGGATCTGGGAAAAGGCTTTTCCAGGTGTCAGGATGGAGTAAACTTAGGTGCAGAGACTGAGGGGTCTGGGGTGGGTAGGCACCAGCATTCCTGTTATATTCTGCATAACGATTTGCTCCCAAGACCTAGTGGCTTCAGGTAACAATTTTATTACATATCCCAATTCTGTAGGTCAGGAACTTGGGTTAGGGTCAGCTGGGTAGTTCTTCTGTTCCACATGGCATGACTGAAGTCCCATATTCAGTCGGCAACTGTTCTGATCTGGAGGGTCCAACACGGCTTCACAAATGTGTGGAATTTCTTGGTGGGAGGGGTGGAAAGGCTGGGCTCAGCAAGACTGGAGTGACTTTAAGAACTATGGGTTCTCAGGGTGCCTGGTGGCTCAGTCGGTTGAGCATCTGCCTTAAGCTCGGGTTGTGATCCCAGGGTCCTGGGATCGAGCCCCACACGAGGTTCTCTGTTGGGCAGGGAGCCTGCTTCTTCCTCTCCCTCTGCCTGCCACTCCCCCTACTTGTGCTCTCTCTGTCAAATAAATAAATAAAATCTTAAATAAAAAAATGAACCCATGCTGGGTTCTCCAGCATGATGGTCTCACGGTAGTTGGACTTCCTACATAGTGACACAGTGTTCCCAGGGAGAATGTTCAAGAGGCCCCAGTGGACGCTGCAAGGCTTTTTATGACCTGGGCTCAAAGTCCAGGAATATCATTTCCACTGCGTTCTATCAAACAAGTCCCTCCATCCAGCGCAGATACAAAAGGAGGAAAATCTTGCGATGGGAAGAATAGCAAAGAATTTGTGGTCACCTTTACTGGACCAGCAAGTCATCCAGGTTGACTAGTGTTTGGGGAATGTGCTAGGAAGTCAAGGGCCAGATTTTGGAGAGGGACTTGAAAGTCATGACAAGGGATAGGGAGACAGTAATAAGGTGGAGAGTTGAAGGTTCTAGAGGTGGATTTCAAATCCCATCTCTGCCCCTTACAACATGTGCTAAGTAGGCTGTTCCTTTGTCTGAGCCTCCGTGTCCCTATCTGTAAGGATGGGCTGGGATGCAGTCTGAGTCTGCAGTTGTAATGAGCCCCAGGTGATATCGATGCCAGTGATCCCCAGACCATACTTTGAATAGCTGGAGACTTTTTTTTTTTTTTCCAAATAAAAGTTTGATCCCATTTTGCTTCCATTTATAGCCTCCACTAATTTTCCAGTGTTCTCAGGGGGAAAGATCAATCAATCCCTCACCGTGTCCCACACGCACCCCCGAGTCCGTGACTATCTAGCCCCCACCCCCATCCTCTTTCCCCCTTATTTATCATTTATAATATTATGAAATGAAATAAAACCACTATGCTACCCAAGTACTGGAACATTACCAACAACCAGGATGTACCTGTAAGCTTCTCTTCTCCCCCTCCTTCCCCATTCCCCTGAGATAACCATTCTTCTCAAATATGTGTTTATCTTTCCCTTTAAAAGTTTTTTCTACCCATGCATGTATCTAAACATGCATATTTTTGTTTTGCTTTTATTATACATTCTAAAAGTTGCACCATAGTGTATACAGTTTTCTGCAACTTATCTTTTCATTCAAAATTGTTGCCGACATCTAGCCTCTCTGACCGCGAAGTTCATTCAATTTCACGGTTGTGTAACAGTCTATGGTGTGGATATTCCAGTTCATTTGCTCACTCTCTGTGAATGGACATTTGCGAGGTGTTTCCAATGTTTTTGTTGTTAGGAACAGTGCTGGTGTGAACATCCTCGAAAATGTTCTCTGACTGCACCCGAGCTGGTTTCTCGAGGGTAAATGCCTGGGAGGATATTTGCTATGCCCCCCTCCTCGCCTTTCATTCCCCAGCTCGCTGGGGTCTAACAGAGAACGTCCTCTCCCCCTGGGCTGCCCTCTTCCACCTCACTCCCACCCACCCCAACCCCCTCACCTAGGAAACTCAGAGAACACTTCCCCTACACGCAAGCCACGGCTGGGCCGCATTAAAGCCCTCTAACCATACATTTATGTTGTGCGATTATGTGATGAGCGTGTGTCTCGCCCAGTAGCGTGAAAGCCCCACGAGGTCTGTGACGCTCACCGTTCCCCGCTTCCAGCTCGGCCCCGGCACGCTGCAGATGCCCAGGCGGTAGCTTGAATGCTGCTCGAGGGCCCAGGCGGGAGGCAGAGCCGGCTAGGCGCCTGGAGCCTGAGCCCACAGGTGGCTCCCGCCCTGCGTCCCGGGACCTGCGATTTCGGGCAGGCCACCGCCGGCCAGGGGAACTCGGGCTTGTCCCCAGGGCGGGCCAGGAATTCCAGGAAATGCACATCCCGGGTCTGCGGGGCGGGGCGGGGGCTTGGGCGAGGGGGCGGGCCCCGTGCGGGGCGGGGCCGGGGGCGGGGCCGGGCCCCTTAAGAGGATCGTGGCGCGCAGCCGTCCCGGCAGGTCCCCGGGGTGAGCACCGGCCCGCGGAGGGAACCACGCAGGGCGCACGCTTGGCACCATGATCCAGACGCCCGCCTTCGACAAGCCCAAAGTGAGCGCGAGCGGTACTCGGGGCCGGGGGGGGGGGTCCGGCTCCTGGTCGGGCTGGAGGGCTTAGGGGCGTTCACAGCCCGGGAAAGAACCGGGGCCCCTGCAGCCGCTTCCTTCCCTCAGCTCAGGCCCTCGCTGCCTGAGAGGCAGTGAAGCAGGGAGGGTCCTGAATCCCAAGGCGCCCCCGGCTGGCTTCCGCGCTCTGCTTCTGCCCCTGATTTGGCCTCTCGGAGTCTCAGTTTCACTACCTGTCAAATGGGCCTCGGGGCACCGCCAGCGGCTGGGTAGCTATGTGAGGCTAGGTAGGGGGCTTGACCCCTCGAACCTCGGCTGTAAAATGGGGCCCGGTGTCTACATCCACAGGCACCTAAAGTGTTGTGGAAACAGCTTTATACTCCAGCACTACGATGAGCCAAGGAGCTCAGGTTTGTGAACGTGCCAGTCAGGAGGACCATGCCATAGAGCGGAGGGAGGGGGTCAGGGCGCCCCTCTCTCCCTGCTAGGGGCTGGGTGGGCCTTAGGCCTTGGGTTCATTCCGGGCCAAGCCACAGCCACTGGCCTCAAGGGATAACTCTGTGGTCCCTCCTCCCACCAGCTGTGGCCTTTTGGGAAAGTCTGGGTCAGGGAGGGTCTGGGCCCACTTGACAGGCTTTGGAGCCCTGAGATTCAGTCCACGGAGGGGAGGGGTCCAGGGGGGGTCTGTCCAGCAGAGTGAATCAGCTAGCAGGGTTTGAGACTGCTGGGGGATCACAGGAAGGAGTGAGCTATAATCAGACTCAACTTACCTCTCGGAGAAATAGGTGAGTGATGATGGCAGATATCATAAAAGCGTTGGTGAGAATCCCATGTGTGTATGGGAGTGCTGGGGGGTGGGTGAGCAGCACTGGAGGAGGGAAGGCCTAGCCCCCACTGCTGCTGCCCCCACCACAGGCTCAGCTACCCCCTGCCAGACCCCACCCCATGCCTCTACACCTTGTCTGGATGCCCCATCACTGGTGCTTCTTTCCTTGTGAAGTCTCTTTTGTTTTCTTCTCTTTAAGTGCTTTTGGATTCCCTCTGTCCTTGGGAAGGTGGTTCCCCTGATATGAATCCTGAGCAGTAGACAAAGTCCCTAGACTGGGAGTGAAATTGGAGTTATGGAGATAAATGAGAGGCAACGCTTCTGTAGAATTTACTATATGCACCAAATCCACCCTTGAGATACTTGTAACAGCCCTGTGAGGGAGGGACTATTTTACTATTTTGGGGCCTCAGTCAGTCCTATCTACTTCAGGCTGGCAGGTTATTTCCCCTCTCTGGGCCTCAGTTTCCACACCTGGGAAATGGGCCCCACCTGCTTGGCGGTGGGATGTCCAGAAGTTAGAAGGGGATGCTTGAGAAGGGAGGTAGAGTGTTCTCCACTGTGTAGATGAGATGTGATTAGATTTTATATTACAAGGAGGGAACATTCCGTAGCTGGCAGGAGAAGCAAAAAGGAGCGTGTCTCAGCCACTGCGATCAGAGCCAGCTCCCTGCCTTCCTGTGGGTGGGACAGATCCTAATGAGAACTAGTATTAGTAGCTGGAGCTAATTAAGTTGTTATTGCTCTTTGCCAGGTACTGTTCTGAACACTTTACTTTCATTAACTCATTTGATTCTAGCAATGAGTCTGTGAGGTCGTTGGTATCATCCCATTATACAGATGAATAGAGGCAGAGAGATTAATGAGGCCCGAGATCACACAATGAGGAAGTAGCCAAGCTGGGGGTGAGCCCAGGCAGGCTGGCTTCAAACATCCCAGAGCCAGTTTTCCTGAAACAGCCTTTGCAGAAGCCTTTGGGGTAGAGGTGCTGGGCCTCTCCTGGACAGGAGCCTCTGCTGGGCTGTTTGGCTTCTTATGCCAACCACTAGGTGAGGCCCAGCACCTGACCAGCTTTAAGAAGGCAGAGCAAGGCAGGCGCCTTGGTGGCTCAGTCGTTAAGCGTCTGCCTTCGGCTCAGGTCATGATCCCAGGGTCCTGGGATTGAGTCCCACATTGGGCTCCCTGCTCGGCGGGAAGCCTGCTTCTCCCACTCCCCCTGCTTGTGTTCCTGCTCTCACTCTCTGTCAAATTAATAAATCTTTAAAAAAACGTTAAGCGTCTGCCTTCGGCTCAGGTCATGGTCTCAGGGTCCTGGGATCGAGTCCCACATCGGGCTCCCTGCTCTGCGGGAGGCCTGCTTCTCCCTCTCCCACTCCCCCTGCTTGTGTTCCTGCTCTTGCTGTCTCTGTCTCTGTCAAATAAAATCTTTAAAAAAAAAACAAAACGGGTCATGATCCCAGGGTCCTGGGATCGAGTCCCATATCGGGCTCCCTGCTTGGCGGGAGGCCTGCTTCTCCCTCTTCCACTCCCTCTGCTTGTGTTCCTGCTCTCGTGCTCTCTCTTTGTCAAATAAATAAAATCTTTAGAAAGCACAGCCTTGCTGTTTTTTTTTTTTTAAACTTTAATATGTACTCAAGTCACCTTGTTAACACTGAGACACTGAACTGGGAGGCTGGGGTGGGACTTGAGATGTTCTCTTCTAACAGGCTCACGGGTGATTCTGATACTCCTGGCCCACGGACCGCACTTTGAGTAGCAAGGCCCTAGGTGGCTGCCTCCCTGGCTTGATTGTGTTATTCCAACAAATGCTTTCTGAGCACCTGTTGGGCATTGGAGGCGGTACGGAGGAGGTGGAAGGGTGTCCCTTATCAGTCTATTTCTACACGAAGCAAGGCTGGAAATCCTGTGGTGCTCAGAAGTTCTTTGTCATGGAGGACAATGCTGATCACATGCCTGTTTTTGTAATAACTGGGTACCGGGCAACTTCCGTGATGTGCCTCACAGTTCTCTGGACAACTGGACAAGGTAGATCGCTTCCTCCCCCTTTAACAGACCAGGAAACAGACATGAAGTGACTTCATCCAAGGTCACACAAAATGAGCATCTCAAAGCTGTAGACCAGCAAGTGAGCTGGCCCAGGCTGGAAGAGCAGTTTCTACACCGTCCCTCCCTGATGCAAAGAACTGGGGCTAAATCTCCCACATAAATTCAAGTAGGCTCTATGCTCAGCGTTTGGCTTGAACTCACAACTGAGATCAGGAGTTGCTTGCTGTACCCACTGAACCGCCAGGCGCCCCGCCCACATCATTTTTTCTTTCTCCTTGTTGAATGTTTACTCCGTACCAGGCACTGTTCTAACCGCTTTGCATATATTCATTTAATGCTCAGTATTTAAGATAGGTCCTCTTCATTTCTGTAGGAGGAAATGGCTCAGAACGTATCAAAGTCACACGGCCAGAAAGAACTAGACTTGAACCCAGTTCTACCTGAAACTGAAAGATACTGTCAACTGCTTTGCCAATTTGCCGTTCCCACTTTGGGGGGAGGGAGTGGACTCAGTCACTTCGGGCCTCGGATAGACTGAGGGTGGGTCCCTGCCTCGCTGTTTGGCAGCCACAAGAGCTCAGGTGGACATTTCTCTGAAACTGTTTCATTCTCTGTAAAATGGGTTGATTAAAACCAAGATCATGAGTTCTTGGGGAAATTGTGCTAAGTGGCACTTGTGAAGTCGCTGGCAGGCAGCAGGCCCTTAAGTGTGCTTTTCCTCCCACTGGGGCTGTAGTGCCGACCCCCCAACTCCCCCACCACACAGTGTCTTTACTTCTTTCTTCCTGCCACAAAGCCACCGGAAAGCCCACTGGAAAAGCCTACTGTTAGTACGGTTTGGGGCTTTCCATGCTTTTTGGTTACCAGAGAGACACCTGTTTTTATGTTTTATTTATTGTTTATTTTATTTTAGAGCAAGCAAGGGTACATGAGTTGGGGGGAGGGGCAGAGGGAGAAGCAGACTTCCCGCTTGAGCAGGGAGCCCGATGCAGGACTCCATCCCAGGACCCCGGGGTCATGACCTGAGCCTAAGGCAGACACTTAACCTACTGAGCCACCCAGGAGCCCTGAGCCACCTGTTTTTTTAAGAAGCCTCTCGAGGAGCTTGCCTTACCCATTACAACTCACGGGGCGTTTTGGAGGGAAGGGAGTGAATGAGATTAGGTTTCAAGGAAGCCTTTTGTTTGACAGAGGAAGCAAGGACCAGAGAAGGGAGATGTGGTCACACAGCGAGGTGTAGGGGAGGCCGACCACGCTCCTGATTCTGCATCCGACCCTGGGGTTGGCCTGGCCTAGATGGCAAGGGGCCCTGTGAGCTGGGAGGAATGTGTCTCCCTATCCAGTTGTCCTGGGGGGGTGCCCCCCTGGGGTTGGGAAGGGAGGACTGTGTCTGGCTTTGGACAGGGGAGAAGAGCAGGCCGGGGGGGCCACAGTGAGTTCAAGCCTATATGTACTCAGTTTTGGGGGCAGGATCCCTTACTCCTTAGGGTTCTGAGGCTCCAGAGCAGCAAGGTGAGGGAAGAAACAAGCTCTGGGGTCCTTGTGACCATGGGAGCAGAACAGTGAGTTTTCCTATCTGTACAGTGGGAATCCGATTCATCCCCAGGGGTGGGGGGCGGGGGGGGCATGCCCGTGCTAGCTGCTGTGGATCCCTATCCTTGTCATGGTTCTCAATCCTGTTGAGGTTTTACCAGCATTGACTCAGCTCTGATATGCAGGATGAAGGGAGTGGATTGTGGCAGTTACAACCTCTGGCTTTCACTCAAACAGCTTCCAGCTGTGGTACTTACTAGTCTGGACTGAGGCTGGTTCCTTAATCTGTGTCTCCGTCTCCTTACCAAGAAAATGGGGAAGGACTGTGTTGCGTTCCTAGGCTGTTGCTCCACAGGGTGTGCCCCTGGCTGAAGACCTGCCTTCCCTTCTCTGAAACCTCTGGGGAAGCTCCCCGCAGCGTTTGAGAGCTCAATCAGGCCCCAAGACAGCAGGAGGCACCATTACTGTACCTCTGAGCTGTAGGAGCTCAGATGGGGCTGAGCGTGGAGGACTTCCTGGAGGAAGTGTGACTGAAAGACTATGTCAGCCCAGGGCTGCTCTCCTGCTTTACCCCAAAAGTC